CCCGAGGAGCAAGCAGGGGGCTGACGCTGCGCTCGCAGCACCCTTCCACGGGCAGCGTGGAACGAAACTCCCGTTTAAACTAGCACAGGACGGAGGAGGGACGCTGCCAAAGCGCCAGGCTTTGGGAGCAGTGCTCTGCTGCCTGTTGTTCCTGTGGCATCCGACTTCCAAACCTTCTCACCTTCCCTCACAAGATCGGTGCTGTTCTGCGCACCCCTTCTAGCTTGATTTTCCCCATCTGGCAGTCGCCTAAGGCAGCATGCATTTTGCTAACCATCCAGGCCTTCCATCCGCAGGACCACAGCAAACAGCCCTATTAAATTTTCCCTTATTTTTTCAGCGTTGACTCCATCCTACACTGCCTCCAGCTGAAGCATGGAGCTGCCGCAGTTGTTCCGCGCACAGTACAAACAGAACCAAGCGCTTTGGCAAGTTTCAGCTCCCTTGGCAGCGTGCACCCTTCACAGAGGACAGTGCACTAACAACAGTGCATCTTCTGGTCAGAGGCAGAATGTGGAAACAAGCCTTTTGAAGAGTGAAGCAAAACTCTGGAAGGCCAAAGCCAACAAGAAGGGACACACATCCACAGGAATCGATGTTTAGCCAAGCCTGTAGAAGAAACAAACCCACCCCATGAAGGTTGATACTTCCTACCTGCAAGAGACTGAAATGCCGAGGTGAGGCAGCCAGAGTATCTCTTGCAAGGTGACACAGCACGCTGGTCTACTGCAACAGCTCGGCCTAACACGGCACCAATTGCATCTGCCATGAGCAGAACGTTTAAACACGACCCCAGTTCAGTCCCACAGCTACAGGAAGTATGCAAAATTAATTTTACTTCCATATTTTAACTGGATCTCAGGCCAGCCCAACAGAATTTGTCAGGTTATTTTCTGCAGGGGGCAGAGAAGATACACATTGCGTCTCCTCCAAGCCCTGTACCAACAGTAACGCTTCCAGATCCCTTCTGACAAGCTTTGAGCAATGGCAACATCTGCCCTTAAGGACTCGTGCGTCCTCAGAACAGCAACTCTCTCCTCTTAACAAAAGACTCAAAATCATACTGCACCTACTTATACTGTTTAATCTCTCCTTCAGACTAACCCTCTGCTCAGGGATGCAGACAGAATGGCCCCTGAATGGGGTAGGTCCTCCTCTTGTTTCCGAGATCTTCCATATTCCTGAAGGAAAGGTGTAAGTTTAAAACATACACCTACATGGAGGAGAAAACTAAAGAAAGGAAAAAAAAAAGGAAAAAAAAACCCCAAAACACAAAACCAAACACACCCAAACCAAACAGAATCTTGACCATTTTGTTTAATGTTGTACAAAAAAAAAACCCAGGGTGAGTATCACAATGAAAGGTGATTAAAACGTTGGTATCACACTGCCATCCCACTACCTCAACAGTCGAGACTCACTTCTCTATTCACACCAGAGAAAGTTTAGTGCCTTCAGGAAAAGAATGACATTAAAAAAAAAAAAACCAAAACAGATCCTTGCATCACACGTATTCTTTTCTCTACATCTGAAAGCTGTGCTCACAGAGACGGCTTCTTCTCCCAGACTCTTCAGGTCCGCAGGAGCTCAGTTGTAAATAAAGTTGAACCTAAAATTAAAAGGATTATAGCCAGTAGAGGAATTTTTCTTCTTTTTATTTAAGTGACACTTTGGAATGAAGAAGCAAATGTTTTGTTTCTGTTCGTGATAAGCCTCCACCCAACAGGACCAAAGTGGGGTTTTTTAATACGACAGCTTTACAGTACAACAGGAAGCACCATTTTTAACAGCCAATGCCATACCAGCATTGCACATCACTCTCTTAAGGTTGCAGAACTAATAACATTATTTCATCTCTTAAGAGAGCTTCACAGTTACAAAAATACCAGTGATTTATGTACCCCCTTCAGCAACATTCCCGCAGCATTCCAGCTATGAGGGCCAGACCCTCTGAGGGTAACACACGGACGTGGCCGACGGAAGAGCAAAGGCTTCCCAACAAAGTTTCACAACAAACAGCGTTCCCACAGTGAAAGCAAGCATCCGCCTCAACTTCCAGATGTCCACCCTTTGGCAGTGCCTGTTACACTGACACCAAACTGGCATTTGGCTGCATCTCAGCCAGCGTTTGCCTGGTACTCGGGAGACAGTATCTGCCTCTTTGGAGCAGGGGAAAGGGGAAGCCCCCGTAAATTCAACTGCCAAAATCAGGCCTAGATGGAGGAAAATTCCCCCAAACAGCACGGTAACTAGGCCGTTATGGGCCATACCAGTGCTGACATTCTGCTAACAGACCTTCCTCATCAAAGTAGGTGGATGACAAACCACTGCTCGAGGAACAGCCAC